TATATANATATATGTGTGTGTGGTATATATATATATATATATATATATATATATATGTGTGTGTGTGCGTGTGTGTATACGTGTGATGTATGTATTAATACATTGATATACATATACATGGTGGCGATAATGTTTAATGCTATTTTGATTTGATCTTGATTGCGGTTGGTGTACAGATGTAGTCCTGGCGGTATAATAGGTAGCAACATTTCCTATGTGCAACCCCGTCATTAAATCAAGCTGTGGTTGGTTTAGGCTACCTCGCACACCCCATGCTTGACGTGTGATACTGGCTCGGATGTCTTCTCGACGAGGCTGAATTCGCGTGTGTCCTTTTATATTACCCTCTGGTGTGGCTAATAGGAGTATTCATGACAATAAGACGTACGTTAGTGCTGAGCCAGTCATCACTTCCAAGGTGATTTATACATGTATTCAATTTGCAGCAGTTGTGATAATATTAAGTATGCTTGGTTCGAATTCCCAACACCCGCAGATCATAGTGGTTGAGAGGAATGCCGAAGCCAAACTCATCATCGAGCATCAGAACAAAGAATCTGAAGAGCTGTCCACCATCCTGGACGAGTGTAGTGAGGTGTGTGCCACGGAAATTTCAGACATGAACGTTTTTACATTTAGAGGCGTTTTATGTTGATATTGATGTGTTCAATCTCGAATTGGTTCGTATTATTACTGTATTAAAAAAATACAAAATATAGGGCGCTGACGCGGAAGCCGAACACTTTTTAAGATCCAAGACTCTTTCGTGTCCTGCTATCACACTTCTCCTTGACAGTATAAACGAAATCAAACTGATGACTGGTGATATTCGTGCTTTGAGGTCTAAAACTATTCCAGCTACCCCAAAATTAATTCATTTCTCACTACATACGATACTCAACCAGGTTAAGGATGGGGAAGCCGAAAATGTGTTTACATTCGGACAATCTCGCGTGCAGTCCCGCTACACCCCGGATGAAGGCAGGATCAAGCACGTCACTAAACTGTACCGTGTGGAGATTGTGAACAGACTATTGAGGGTGACTTTACAGAAGACAATAGACGGACTCACGCCTTCGCTACTAAAGGTTGCTGTAGGAAATCATTTTTTCGTGATCAAACTACTGAGGGTGACCTGAACGACCCTATACGAACTCACG